ATATGAGATGTGAAATTTGTGAATATATGAGAGGGGTAATTATTCTACCTGGTGGAGACGACAGGGGCAGGAGCAGAAGGAGGGGGCACTTTCGGCGTCTCCACCGAGCTGCAATAAAGTGAAATTGAAGAGAATGATTTATATTAATATATTAATGTGTGCATTATAAGTAATAGCTAAGCCAATAAGAGCAGTGGGTGGTTGGATGCTATCATGGGGAGTCTAGATTTATGTAGAGGTACATACACACACCCTTATTCACATAGTGATACATTGAGGGCAAATCGGTCACCAATGGCCAATCAACGTCAAGCGTAAACAAAAGCATAGGTTGTCCTTCTCATGACAACAACTCACTTAAAGATGAAAGAGTGTACAAGCAACGACATATACAAGCAGAAAACATGTTTAGAACAATGTTTCTAAACCCAGTCCTCAGGGACCCTCAAAAAGTCCATGTTTTTGCTCTCTTCCAGCTCCTTGCCAGACAGCCCACATGGAGGAAGCAAAAACGTGGACTGTCTGGGTTCCGGACCGGGTTCAGAAACATGGGATGAATATGGGCCAAGTGTTTAATATATCAGGCTTTGTGTGTTGCCAGAGGATAGGATAGGACCAGTGCATTGGGGAGCTGGAAGAGGATGTCATATTCTCACCTTGAGGGCAGTACAGACTGCGCAGCTGTTTGTTGGCTACCAACAGGGGGCGCCGTGTTATCCATTCCTTTGTCTTTGTGACTAATGTCATCCTCGTCATCAATCACCACCCTGCACACACAGACACAAATAGTGGCAAAATTAATGAAAATAAGGCTGCTTATCAGTTCCATTTGATATATCTTTCTTTGTGCCTGGTAATGCACTGCTTTCTGCACTCAAATTAATGCTACCAAAGACATGAAAACCACTGCAAACCTTTAACCGCCATTATAGTGCAATGACAGGCAGAATTGGTTGATAAACAGAATTATGATAATGCTTAAAATAATAATGATAACACTAATAATAATTAAGAATGCTTAAAGGCAGCTGGGTTACCGTTTAGCCACGAACGGCAGACCAGCATCTTGTGGCTTTTCTACGGACCTGTGGGATAAATCATGAATTCAGAAACGGGGCAAAAGCAGAGATTGAACATTAGACTGATGGGACAGACCGCAGGGTGTCTGGAGCAGATGTAAACAAAGATGAGGTGGGATGCGGGAGGTGGGCGGAGCCACTCACTCGTATTTCTTAGCTGCTGAGAGGACGTAAGAGCGCTGCCGGGATGCGGATGACTTCAGCACATTGCTGGCGGCCTCCGTCCTGACAGCCGCAACAGCAGAGGGTGGAGAAAAATGGGAATGTGATGCATTACTAGCATACATGCTGTGTAGGAGTCGATGAGGCATGAGTGCGGCCAGGCCGGGCTTCAGACGAATTCCCAGGCATAGGTGTAAGCGGTGTTGGAGCAGGAGCTACAGAATGACTTAGAACAAAGCAAGAACCTAATAATACTATCAATGAGCAGAAGTTCAACATAAGAACATTCCTGAGAGGGAGTCATTCTGCTGGGACTCTTTGTGTTTGGATACTGCAGTTACTCTGTCTGTCCGTCTGTCTGGTTCAATGGCCTACACATGCTGCAGGTGCTGAAACGTTAAGGTACTGCATTTTGTTTTGTGTGTATATATATCCAGTTGTATAACCAGTTTATACCCCCAGGTGAGAAGACGCCAGTCTTATGTTAATTTCACCTGGGATGTTTGATTGAGTTTTGCTTGTTTTGGTCATGTGACCGAGTCTGCCACGGGGACATCCCTTCATGTCTCGCCGCTTACCGCTTGTCCTGTTCCTCAGAAGACAGCGTCCCATCATCCAGGTAGGAGCTGCTGCTACCTGACCGGACGATGTGAGGGGCTCTGAAACGCACACGCGCAACATTCATAATCAGGCAGCCACACTAGCGTATGTACACACCACTGCAGTAAGAAAAAAAACACGGAGCACGCAGTCAAAATATGACTTACATCTTCTTGTAGCTGTCAGTGGGCTTCTTAAGGAAGGTGCCGGACGGGCTACTGACAGAAAAAGAGAACGGACATGAATCAGACTCCTTGCTAAAATCTGCTAGAGGAAAAGCAGCATCCCGCTTCACAGAATACCTTTGTCGGGTCTTAACATTTGTCTTACCTGGTTCCATTGGATGCAGGCGCTTTTTCATTGTTGGTTTTTGTGAAAACACCCCTGCAAGAGCAAAGCGATAATTAAGTTCAGTGCTCTGAAAGGCTGTTTCCATCTGGTTCCTGCTTTGACAGAGACCCGTCTTACCTGATAAGGTAACCTGAAGATGGTGTGGGGCTACAGAACAGAAAAAAAGAAGAAATCACTATCACTCACTTTTCTCTTGTATATTTAGTACCCTGAGTACATTCCATTTCTCCATGATGCTAGGTGGCTAAGGTACTGGACTCGAAACCCAGTGGTGGCTCTACATGCAGGTTCAAATCCCACCCGCAGAATTAGCATAGAACTAGATTAGCTCAGATGTTAAAGCACAAGTCTCTTAATCACAGGGTTGTAAGTCTGATCCGTCGAGTCGGTTGTTCTGCTTATTTTCAGGGTTGTGTTTGGTTCTGTGAGTTAGACTCTACTTGTGATCAAAAGGGTGTTGAGTCAAAGCTCAAGGTAGGTAGAGTGATTTCATTAGTACTCTAGATAAAAGTGTCTGTTAAATAAATATATGTAATGTTAAAAAAAATACTAAATACTTATCTTGTAATTCTGGAGTGTTACCCCCCCCCCCTCCCCAGCCCCATTATGGCATCCCCCCCATTATTGTTCTGTTTCACATAAGCCTGAATGCTTACGCCTGTGTGGTGGTGGGAGAGCTGGGATCGGTGGCTGCTGAGGCAGCAGTGGGAGATGGGGGGGGGCTTAGCTCTGAGATGGGAGGTGTCGCCTTCACCTGCGCTAACCTGCAGAAAGGAAGAGATACATCGATCAGCAGCCCCGCTCAAATGTAGATATTTGGATGGATGGGTGGGAGGTGGCTCTAGTGAACGATTGCCGTAGAGGGTGATTGGGTTACCATGACTTCTGCTGCTCAGGTTGTGGTTCTGAGCGCGACTGGATCCAGCTGCTGTCTCCCTTAAGGGAGGTCCGGACCTTCGTGGTCCGTAGTACCGACTGACGATCCCCTTCTGAAAACAGACACACCAGCACAGTAGCCCATTATGACATGAACACTCATGCACAGCACACACTTGTGGCTAGGGAGGCCATGGAAAGCATTTGACTTTATCCTGACGTTCACAAAATGAATCGGTTTCACAGTGTGCATGCCGCCATTCCCATTTCAGAATATGGGAACAGTGTAGGGTGACCAATTAATCCATGTCAGATGGCACACTATGAGCTAGGACAGTGTTTGTAAACTACCATTTCAATTAAAAGCACCTGCTTTTCACTTTAGCAATGAGAACTTACTGTGTGCTGATTGGCCAGTCACCTATAATCATATATGTGAAACAGCCAGCTGAGTTATTTGAGCAAGGAAACAAACCAGTAAAGGCAAAAGGAACAACTAATTAGCCAAACACAGGAGTCTTAGTTTTAAAGTAGTTTATAAAATCTGAAGTGGCTCATAGTGTCCCCTCCCGACATGGATTAGGTGGTCACCCTAGACCAGTGTTCACCCGACAGAGAACCAGGCCCTGCAAAATATCTTCATATATCATGGTTGTTCTACAACCATGCAGAGAAATAATCAAATCAAATGACTACCCCACCATGTTTGACAGTTCTTAAACTTTCTCTGAATGTAAACCTGACCAGATGTAGTGTAAAGGGTGAAAGAAGACTCATCAGACCATGTTACTATCTTCTACTTCTGAGAAGTTCAGGTTCTGGACTGTTTATACCATGCTATACATTTTTTTGCTCCCTCCTTTTTCAAATGGCAGCCCTGTCATAAATTCCAGCTTTCTGAAGCTCTCGAAATACCATTTTGTTGAAAATGCGTTACAGAGATGCCGGGTCAATCCTGCGCTTATTCCTGAGTCCATACTTCTGTGCTGTTGAGCGACTGTCCTTTTAAGTGCCTGCCAATCCCACTTGGTAATCTCTGCTCCTCTCGACCACTGCAGGTTATCTGCATTTGGCGTATGTTGTCATCATTTTTGAGACAAACTCCCAATACAAAAAAACTATTTTGCACCAACATTTCAGGTGCTGGCTCTTTGGCCTCTTTGAAACTTAGCTGCCTTAAGTTGCTTTGAAAATTCACATATCAAAGTGCTGATTCAGACATTGTTGATAACTGACACATACTGATAATTGGCACTCAACCTCATATACCTCATGTTTATAGCTGCTTTTGTGCCTGTGATTTAATTATTTTTCACGTCATATTTGTTTTACTTTGCCCATATATAAATATGGTGTATGACCACTGTAGAAAAAACTATAATTATTCTTTAAAAATATTTGTAAATGAATGCAAAGAATGAGAGGAAGAATGTCACAGATGGTCTTGCTTTTCAGGTTGAAAGGGAAGTGAATACACAATGGAATGCTACAGTGTGTATTTTCAATCACAATAAAGCTGTTGGAAGCGGACAGCTCCGGAATGCATCAGCATCCACTGAAGGTAACATTCCAGGGTTCCATCATGCCACAAGCATTTCTTGGCAAAACCCTTTCACATTCAAACTCAGAGGGCAAAGAGCTTTCTGCTCAGTTTCATGATCGCCGCAAGTCACCCACTATGATGCTATTAAGCGACAAACTCACCTTTCGACATGGTCGTTGGCTGTCTGTACTGCTATGAGCTTCTTTATGGTGATGCCTGCATCAGAGAGATGGGCACATTAGTGGATACTGGTAGACAATTCAAATACCGTGTGTAAACTCTAAAGCACATGAAATATGGGAAACAGACCTTTTTAACAGGAATGGTAGAACTCCTATGTTTTACGTTCTTCCAGTCACACATTAGCACATTAGTAATTTTACCATGTCTACCAATTTTGTCTGTACTGATGATCTCTGCTCCAACTTAACTGTAAGTTCAGTATTAGTATAAAAGTGTCTACATTTAATGGTTGTAAATAAATTAAGTCCGTGGAGGTTTGTCTGTTGAGCATTCTTTGGTTATTTGAGCTTTCTAGTGTTCTCTATTTATTCAGACACAGTTCCTCTCAGTTAGGTTTCCAAAACAAGCATTATTTGGGCATGTCAAAGTCGACGTGCGAGGAGGAAGCAATCCGGGTGGAATGCGATGTTCCATTCAGCCTGGCTCCAGCTCTGCCTTGGCCCCCAGTATTCACACACACACACCCCCTTCTTGGATGCCTTCCCTGAGAGTCACCCAGCAGTCACCCTCTTGCCCCATACTGACATTACACATCAGGGATATGCACATTCTCCATGCAGTGGAGAAGGGGTTACCCATGCACACCAGCAGGGCCTCTAAAGAAACACTGACGCCTTCAACTTAAGCAAAATCACATTCAAATAGAGGATTTGCTTTTGGTTTACTTACACAGTTTATGAATCGACCATATCAGTGTTTTTCATACATTTCCTCATGTATTCATGGTATATTATCTATATATAATCTATCTATACAAACCGATTGCATACCTGCAATATCACGCAACAGAGTTTGTACTTTGGTAAAATGATACATAAACAAATGACTCCATAGAATGAAGGCTGCTAACAAACACTGAGAGGGAAATTAACCAGTCATAATTGACTTCTAGAAATCTGTTAATGGTCAATGCAGACCATTAATGACTCCTAAAGAGACATTTGTGTGGTTCCTGTTTGGTCTGTATATTCTCCCAATTATTTTATGTTGCTTGTGGGAAAGTAGGTGTGCCAGTGTGTCTGTCAATGTCACCTCCCAAAGCATTTTCCATCTCCATTATTATTTAACAGGTAATAACTTACATGTCTCACAGGTCTGTAATCTGTAATTATATGGTTTTGCAATATCCTACAATTTCAATTAACATTACAGAACCCCATAAAACAATACATATTTATATACAACCTGCAGTGTACTAAACATTACACATATGAAAAAGGAAAACATGAATTCATGCAGGAATACTTTCACCTCCTATGGTTATAACAGGAGAACTTAGGATACATTACAGGCAAACCTACAATTACAGTTAACCAGAAGTACAACTTAAAGTGAGACTATTACCAGAAGATAGAATTACAAACAGCTTGGAAGTTAACTTCAAAATCACCACCCAGATAACAAACCCAAACAGACTCTAACTTCTGCTGAATGTACCTCTCTGCAGAATGCCTTTATTTAAGTTCACCTAAGCTGTGCCTCGATTAAAGAAACACACGTTTTGCACAGCATAGATGTAGAAAAATCAAGAAAGCAGGACCTGGGAAACATACCTTTTTGGTCTGTGCAATCAGTCTGCGTTATCAGACGCTCCTCTCTGTTTGACAGGTGTCTTCCACTGTGATCAGGTTCAGGCAACACCGCAGACAAGCTCAACCAGTCAGTAAGGCTCTGCCCCACCCTGAGAATGGGCGAGGTCACACAGCACCAGCACACACAGAGGGTGCAGGGCGGAGGTTACTGCGTCTGACTGCTTGTTTGTTTCTACACACGTTTCTATCATTTCCTTGAGCATTACTTGGGTTGGGGGGAGGGATTAAGTCACATTCGGCCAACGAATCTCTTTTGACAGGCATCGGACTAGCAGTACTTAAGTTTAAAAGGTACGTCACGAAAACAAAGATCAAATGCGAAGCAAACGCCAAATCTGCTGAACGCGGCAAGAAATCATGCTGATGAACTTTCCCAGATGTATTTATATGTATACAAATACACTACGAAGCACTTCTGTTCTATGAATATTTTGAACATTGTTGACTGTTACTATACCCTGATGGCTTCCTGATATGCATTACTGATGTAATTCTGGTGCATACTGATATCTATCTGTGAATTCCTGATACAAATGATCTCCCCACTTTATGAAACCTCTGCTGCGGCATCCATTCAGACGCACAGCTTCTGTGTGTAAATAAAGGCATGTTAAAGTCAGCCGACCTAGTCAAGTGAAATTAAAGCCAATAAATTAGGTCCCAGGGTTCCCAGCACAGAACTGGGATGGAAATGCCCCAGGGAGGGCTGATAATTCAGAAGCTCCCCCCCCCCCCCCAGAGCAAAAATGTGTCCGCCTGCCTCAAACCCTGTTGCTGCTGGCAACAGAACGCACCTTGCCCACCAGTCAGAGACATTGGCTCACTAATATCCACCCCTAAACAACACAGAATGACGTATAAATAATTCTGCACAATGAGCGCAGCGATCCATTTCTAAACCATGAAATGGGCGTGAGCGGTGTGATGGAACATTGCCAAGGTTTCCCAGAGAGCAGAAACCCTTCTCTGCCCGTGGTTCCTGTTCACATGCCACCATGCAGCAGGTCCGGGCAGCAGGTGGTCAACAGCCATCATTCTAACTGACAGTCCAGGTGGTATGGTTCCCTTCCACAGAACCAATGCACCCACCCAAATCCAGCCACTACCTTGCGCAGGTCCCAGATAAACCCGTCTGACCGCTCCATCTGCAAATGCCTCTACCGTTTCATTGTTTGGAGAATTTTAGGCATCTGCAGGGCTGCCCACACCCCCAGCACCACACCAATCACCGGAATGACAAGCACTCCCCAGCAAAGTCGCCCTCTCCTCCAGCACTCGGTGACACTACCGGCCCCCATCCATCGACGTGAATCACCGGTAGGAGGAAGAGGGCAGAGCGGTGAGCAAGAGCAGAAACACGCCGCTTACTCCTGACCTGAGGCAGTCAGAGGGTCAGGTTTCACAGCACAGGATTTACGCCGCTTCCTGCAAAACGGTGAACAAAGTCAACCATGAGAAGCAGAGCAAACCGTCAGCCAGTACTGAAATGCAGTGCAGTGTCGACTAATCGAAATCAGTCAGAACTTCCTACTAATATTAGGGCTATAATGAGGTCGAGGCCCACAAACCTGGTAGCTTTTCTGTAAATATGCCAAGAAAGGATAATTCAATGGAAAAAAAAACCTGACCTACCAATAAATTTCAGAAATGTGTCCTTGGGAGAAGAGGAAGTGGTTGGATAGAAACATAATTTTGTTTTAACAGCAACAAAACTTTCCAAGGAGTTTATTTTGCTGTATGTGGCATTTTAAAGGTGTGTGGGGGGGGGGGCTGGAGCCTCCATGTTCTTCAAAAGGTCAGTGAAACACTCAAAACATTAACAAAAAAATCCATTAAATTGGTAATACGTTAATGTAAAGTGTAAGGACCATAATGTCAGCTTGATATTTTAGAAGGTCGTAACAAATATACTTTCTATTTTCAGAAATCAGCAAATAATTTCATCCATCCATCCATCCATTCATCCTCTAGCCACCTTATCCTGGTCAGGGCCACTTCCAGCCTATACGACGATAGGCCGCAGCTTGGCCACACACTCACAAACTATGGGCAATGAGACAAACTGAATATCTTCTGACCATGGAAAGAAATGTGCACGATATGAGGGAAACATCAGTGCCACTTTACTGAACCACTGCGTGATTAATATTTTCAGTTTACAATTTTTCAGCGTATGAAATGCATTGTACCCAGTTGCACAACATAAGAGTAACGGGGACAACAAGTTAATAAAAATGAAGAAATACCAGGTGAGTGGAAAACCTCAAGCAAAACACTGAGTGTGGAGAGTCTGAGCAACACCCACACTGACCCTAGTGTACATACAGCAGAAAGAAGGTGTAAAATGTGCTTTTTCATCTGAGCAACTTTAAAAGCTGTATTTAGTATAGCATTTAATCCAGCAAGGTACAATGAAGGGGATCAGAAAAGAGGTTTAAGAGTATAAATTTAGCTTACGGTCAGTTCACGTTACATACAAACATCAGTCATAACGAACAAACCACAAACACAAAAATATGTCTTTAATTCTGACACACACAGCCTTGTATGCAAGCAAACCACCAAGCACCTTGACAGGAGTGAAGGCAATGGTATGGAAACTGGATCACGCCCCCTGATGATCAAGCCACAGCCCCCACACTGATCAGGCCCCGCCCCCACATCAGTCAGGTTCCGCCCCCACACTGATCAGGCCCCGCCCCCACATCAGTCAGGCTCCGCGGCGCAGGTGTGGGTAGCTCTCCACAGTGCGGACGATGGCCTCCTGCAGGCCCACCAGCGGCCTGTAGCCCATGTCCTGTTTGGCGCGAGTGCAGCTGTAGTAGTGATGCGTCCCGGCCAGCGCCACACGCATGGGGGTGAAGGTGGGCCGCAGCCGCACCACGGGCCTCAGCAGCAGAGCCAACAGCCAGAGCAGCAGTGCCAGGCCGTACACCAGCCAATAGGGCAGGTGGTAGCGTGGGGCATCGTAGCCCAGCCCCATCAGCACCTGGGACATGAAGTCCCAGAACTGTACAGGCTCATCATTGGTGATATGGTAGGCCTGAAATGGGGAGGGGGGGGACGGGTTTAAAGGGCAGTCGTCAGTCATTCGCCAGGGATGCAGCCAGCATTGTGCTGCCGGAGGGTTCTTACTCTGCCGCAGAGAGGAGACTTGGGACGCAGGTGCTCAGCGGCCAGTATGAGCCCATGGACGACGTTCTCCACAAAGGTAAAGTCCACCAGGTTGCTCCCATCCCTGCATACACACACAGCAGGGCAGCAACCCGTCAGCACGGTCCAGGTTAGACTCAGCAACACCGTCCTTCCAGGAGGGCATGAGACTCTGACCCGATAATGAACTTCATCTTCCCCCGGCGCGCCGTGTCCACCAGGATTGGGACCAGCTGGGGGTCGCGGGGGCCAAAGATGCCATGGGGGCGGATGGCCACTGTAAGGAAGCCGTTCTCCTCATTACAGGCTTGCAGCACCAGCTGAAAGGCAGTGAACACACGAAATGTCAGGATTGGTTATATTATTCTGGGCTGGCTGCAGATTGAATGTCCAAACAGGGGATATGGAACTGGTTTCCAGTGCAATTTCCTGAACTGTCTGAAATGCCTCAGGAGGAATGCATGCTTTTTCTCAGTATTCTAGCTGGGTCAGTAAAAGATAAAACGATAAATGAACTACCAACATTCACAAAATTGATGCAAATACACTGGAGAGCAACCATACACAAGTTCCTATAACTTATGGTGGAACATGACATTTTGGCTAAATAAGCAGAGGAAAAACACAGAGAGAACCTAGGTCTTACCTTCTCTTGCTGAATCTTGGTCTCTGTGTAGTAGTCAATCGGCTTTTTGGCATAAGGAAGCTCTTCTTTTCCATCCTTGATGTCTGTCCCTTCAAACACCACACTGGCACTACTGGTAAGGACCAATTTCTAAAACACAAAAAAAAATACACACACCGATAGCATCCAAATAGTCCTGTTTTCAGCTTCAGTCCACTATCTTGCAATAATCAGTGATCAAGCATTGAACTGTACATTCAAAAATTAGTGCAAAACGATAATGTTTATTTTAGTTTTCTTTAGTAAAGTACTTACTGCCTGAGTACTTTTGAGCGGTGTAGTATCTTGTCACATTATGTGAACTGCTAACTATAGAGATGTGGCTCATTTCTCAATATTTGGCCAACTGTCGCCCCCTACCTGTACACCTGCTTCCTGGCAAGCCTCCAGCACTGCACCAGTGCCGTCCACATTAACCCTTTGGAAGAGGGAGCGGTCATCGCTGCCAGGAAAAGGGGAGGCGCAGTGAAACACCAGTGACACTCCTTGCAAGGCTGGCAGCAGGGCCTAAGGGGAGCAGGCGATCAGAAGTCTTCACACCGGCACTGAGGAGGAGTATTTTTCTCCTGGCACTGAAACAGCACTGTGGAAAAGCTCCAAAGCTCAACTCTTCAAAGCTTGCCAGCTAACAGCTGTTCAGGCAGATCAGCTTCACCATTTAGTGTGGATTTGCATGTGCAAAGACTCACCTGCTTATTACACAAATCCCCCAGGTGAAACGTGACCCCAGGCAGCTCATAAGACTGCTGGATATCAAACACGGACACAAGGTATCCCCGAACCAGGAGCTGCTCCACAAGGTGCCGTCCAAGAAACCCAGATCCACCGATGACTGTGCACCTCTTAGAGCTCTAAAGGAAAAAACTGCATTATCAAGTAAGTATGCAAAATCAATATCGGTTTATTATTAATCACATGCAAAGCTTATGTGGTAATCTCAAAAACAGGCAATGAACTTTGAAATCCACCAACTCATCCATCAATCTTCCATAAACTTAAGAAATACAGGATCGCAGTAACCCAGGAGGAAGCACCAAGCACAGCTTATTTTGGACTGCAGGAGGTGCATGAAATTTACTCTGAAATGCACATCGAAATGAATATAACAGGTGTTATGCAGAAAAAGGCATCCCTGCCGTAGAATGCATGCCTGTCTCTAAATGACCGATTGGTCGCTGATCTGAAACGAGTTGAGCTACTTTGTCGAGATAGGCTACCGTAGTGCTAATCAACAGCCCCAAAAAACCCGTAAAACTCTAACCCTAACCCCCAAAAAAACCAAAAAACCTCTAAAACCCTAACCCCTAAAAAACCCCTGACCCCCAAAAAACCCTTAAAAGCTCAACTCGTCGGAACACCAGCATGCATTCTAAGGCAGGGATGCCTTTTTCGGCATAACACCTGGACCATTTGTAATATGCTGTTCATTTAAAACACTGGAATACCATTATTTCCGTGCAATGACGCCCATCATTCAAAAAGGCAATCACGACAATATTAAAACATAATTTCATTAATAAAACACTACATTTAAATTACAGTTTAATGTCATGCCTACTAAAGAACTACCCTGCTATAGTAGCCTGGGCCTAGACTATATTGTCTGTCTAACATTGCACAACTAATTTTGAATTAACCCTCTCATCTATAATAAAATGTAGCTTATTACTTAATTTTATCAACCGCACCAAGCACATGTTCTTTACGTTGTAAAGACGAGTAGAGCTAATGAATAAACGTAAAGTACACTTACCGGCCGTATCCGTGTGGCCATTACTTCGACTACCAAAGACAAAAGGAAGAAAGCTGGTCTGCAGTCTAAAGTATAAATTAACAAAACAATCAAATATTAAAGGTCAATGCAGTTAGTGTAAACTTAAACCTCACATAACTTTTAAAAACTACGCTGCATTCGTAGCAATCAGTAATTAGACCAAAAATATATTCCTTCCTAACCACATTATAAAGGCTAAGAACATTCCTTAGTCAAACAAAAATAATACTGCTATAAAAGTTTCAAACATAAAATATCAATACAAAAACTCACCTAGGTACGCTGCACAAACCGATGAATGAACCATGTACCGATAGTAGTGCCATCATCAGCTGATTGTTTGGGGGAGCTCTCGTCCAATAGCGTGTGAACCAAACAGAGATCTATCCAATCGCGTTAATCTCATATTGACCACGCGAACCAACCAAATTGACGTTTTTGAAATAGCTCCGGCTGATGTTTGAAACTACACCCACGCGGAAGAAATCGACAAATCAACAGCCGCGCTCTGTATCACGTGTCCACTGCGCAGAATTAGTGCGTTCTCTGTAAGCGAGAGTAACTCATCTGACGTATAAAAGATTAATAAATACAGGAGATACCAGTATCCAATAACATAACATATGAAAATATTTTTCGCCCATTACCTACTGCGATTCTTGAATATTTCACTAAAACTGTTAACCAATAACAATGTGAAATGTTTCCCTATAGCCAATCAAACGTGCGTCATGATACTGGTCACAGTGACAGTCATCTAGTGACAGACCGCCATATGTCACGGAGGAGCGTGATTTCTGTCCAAGGAGTCTTATGTATCACTGTGTTACTCAGTGAATCTTTTGCGTGAACGTAGCTGGGCCCGCAAAAAGAATTCTTGTGTTTTCTGATTGCTGCCTCGCTGCCGAACATGGTAAGCAGTATGTTATTAAATCAATATGGTATCACATCATCGTTCATCAGTTTACTGCAGTTACATTTTCATGTGCTTGGTACAGATATTTACGTTGTTCGCAAATTACAATCAATTGTTTTCATTGACAATGCATCATAATTATTGTGCAGTTTACAATGGACAAATATTAGTAGTCATCACGCTCAAAATTTCAAAATGTTTTACAGAAATATATCGGTATTCCTTTAAATATGTTCTGTCATCAGAATATGGAGCAAAATATTTTCAATTATATGTAGTATGTTAGCGCAAATAGGATTAGGCAGATCGAAGATTACAATTGCGTGTGGTTTAAATGATGACAACGCTGCGTTTATTTTTGCATGGATTCGTTTTAAACCATTAAAAACACAGAATTAGTAAAAGTCAAAGAAAAGCTGGCATTTCTTCACATCCTCGCATCCAGTATTAAAACACCATTATGTAGTCATAAGTAAGATGCGGATCATTTTGCCTCCCCAGGCGACCAGCGCTAAGAAGCCCTCCCTAGGAGCCATGGCACCCCGGAAGAAGGCTGCTCTGAAGGCGGAGCTGACGGAGGAGCTGAAGCAGGAGATCAGGGAAGCCTTTGAGCTGTTCGACACCGAGGGCTCAGGACATATCGATGTCAAGGAACTGAAGGTTCATTCACCATGGTGTCTGTTCAGTTGTTCATTAATGTTGCATGCATTCACTGCATATACATGTAAGCAATTATGTTATAAATGTATGATGGCATGCAATGTTATCAAATGACCAAACGAGAGAAATTCAACAGCACATATATATGGGATGAAGCGGTTTGTTCTGTCCATGCAATTAAGCTAGACAAGTTTAATTATAAGTCACAATGAATTTCATAATTGAGGATGGACAGATTTTAGGGATCTGGTTCCCTTCTTTGTGACAGGTGGCCATGAGAGCATTGGGATTTGAGCCAAAAAAAGAGGAGATAAAGCGGATGGTCAGTGAGGTCGATAAGGATGGCACAGGGAAAATTGACTTCAATGATTTCCTGACAGTCATGACACAGAAAATGGTAAGCATTCCACAGCTCAGAAATGATCCTTTCCACCTGGATACATTATGTTCATTATGCAAATAATGATCAATTCTGATCTTTGTAAAGTAATGCCTACATCCCTTAAAAAATTCCTGGTTAACAGTGGTTTAGTAAGGTGTAATGTTTACCAGTCACAGATGGCAGAGCACAGACATTTTCCTAAAGATACAGTGCTCACAAATATTCTTGGGATGCTTGCTCAGTTCTGAAAAACGTTGCAGATTTATTGATGTCATAATAGAAGTTCATTGACAAGCAATGTTTAACATATCTGCACGTATCTTCGGCACAGACATTTTCTTTTAAGTGTCAATTTTCTTGACTGACTTATTCCATTCTGATCTTTACAATTGCACTTAATAGTAAACTGGAGTCACTGGCTCCCAAAGCGATATTAAACACAAATGTTTGGTGTTTTATGTTATTGCAAAGGTGTTACTAATTAAATAGGAATCAATGTTTCACAAATTAATTTTAAACTCCGATCAGGTCTTATAGAACTAAAATTTGGGTTTATTTATCACCACTTAAAATTAATGTTTTACTTAAAACTATTGGTTGTTTCTGATGCTATATTTTTTTCAAAACAAATGAATAAGGTAATGATTTGTGTTACAATAAATTACAATTTTTTTTAATATTGCTGAATTAAGCAAGTGTCCCAAGACTTTGTGAGCACTGTATGGATATATTAACTTAACAAAACTCAAGAAACACATTATTCAACATCACGGTCAATCCTGAGACCTCAAGTCCTTATAAAAGGGGCAGAATCATCTTCTCACTGAGCATTGCTGTGTCTCCACAGGCGGAGAAAGACTCCAAAGAGGAAATCCTGAAAGCGTTCCGTCTGTTTGACGACGACGAGACAGGGAAGATATCTTTCCGTAACCTGAAGAGGGTGGCCAAGGAGCTGGGGGAGAACCTCACAGATGAGGAGCTGCAGGTGAGAAGCAGTGAGGAGAGCTACACCTTCCTGTGGTCCCTTACAAAGCTGCTACACATAGGTTCACATTAACTAACCAGTGTTAAGAATTATGGGTAAAAAATAAAGAGAGAGAGATACCCTGGTATGTTGCTTGCTGATCTCACCGTGACAGACACTGTAATCACATTGATTCATTGGCGTGTGTCCATAGTCCTTCACACTACGATTAATGGACTTCCTTGTTTGATGGTGCCCTTCCTCCAGGAGATGATTGAAGAAGCTGACCGGGATGGCGATGGAGAGGTGAACCAGCAAGAGTTTCTGCGCATAATGAAGAAGACAAGCTTGTACTGAGGGCAGTCAGCCCCAGGAAGGGCCAGTATCCCCAGATGGGCGTGCTGACCTGCTCCCTTCTGGGGGACACAGTTACCTTCTGGTACATTAACACTGCTTTGTGGGGACCCACCATCTCCTGGGGAGCCAGAGTTACCATTTGGAACAAGAACAAAGCAAGGGGAGGGGGGGGGAGGCAATTCAGAACACAAGCTGAGCTTTAACCCAGCAAAGAATGTTTGTTGAGGTACCTACATGACTTTGGACCAAGTTCACTTTGGAATGTTTTTGCCAGGCTGAACTGGTTTTTTAAAAGTGTGATTTTCAGAGGTCATGTGAGCTTTAGCCATAGTATACCTGTATCTTTCTATATAGTAAATGTGTATTACAAGGGGTAAGAGAGTTCCACAAGATAGACAACTAATGTGCCAAAAACTGTAATCACTATTAAACAGCCCCCAAAGCATGGTCTTTCTAAGTCTGTTTTCTATTGGAGATGTACCTCCAATGGGGCTGTGTTTTCAAAGTTACATCCACAGTGCCTATGTATATTACAATCTGTCACAGGACTACAAGAACAGGGCTGTTGGGATTTTGAATCTGCCCTCTAACTGGAAACCTTATATGCCTAGATCCTTTGCCAGGTAAAGTACAATTGTAGTATTATTTAGTACCCAAAGCATCAGGCTCACCCTTTCATACGTTTTTGTGAGGTATTATTGATTTAAAATACAACTGAAATCGAATCCTTGCTTTGAGTCACCTTCAGCCAGTATTGCTGTGAATATATTTATGCCTGCTTGTATACGCTGTGACCTCTCCTTTGTACCACAGCCTCTGTAGAGAAACAAATTAGGTCAGTTCTTCCATTGCCCTGCTAGCGCCCCCCGGTGGCTATTGGCTGTATCTGAAGTGATCCTGTTGCTGGTTTCTTTGTTACTCCTGCTACATTTTTGTCATTGTATAGTTTTTGCTCCATGTTGTGTATTGATGGATGTTTTGTACAGATGCACTGCATATTCTATTTATCAAAGAAATCATTAAAAGATTTAACTCTTATTCTTATCCGTGTGCTTGAAATACTTTTCCCATCTCCTAGCATGATTCACGATTATTTTACCGGCATCATCTTATCTTTTCCATTGACGTTTGTTATAGGGAAACAAATGTTTATCGTGCAGTTCGCTGTGTAATACATCGCCTTCATTTCCCTGCCATTGGTACAGACCATCAGTTTAATTAAAAAAGTACTATGTTCTTTTAAAAGAAATGCGGCCCTTTTTTCTCCCGCGTGTTGACCTAGATCACTGAGGCTTAGGGAAACGGAGAATATCTGCCTGATAACATGAATAGGCGTAGGGTTTATTATTCTCTCTCTGTGTGTTTTATACAAGAGACGAAAGAGTACAAAAGGTTACTAGGCAGCCGGGTGGCATCATGTAGAAGGTATGATTGTTCTACTTGGAAAACTTTAATGCAGATACAAAGAGTCCATGGAGAACGGTTTAGTGCAGTTTCCCAATCTGGTCCTTGGGGACCCCCGACACATTTTTGCTCCCTCCCAGCTCCCAGTAGCTAAAAACATAGACTGCCTGGGAGTCCCCAAAGACTGGGTTGGGAAACAGTGGTTTAGTGTATCAACACCACTGGGATTCCACATCAGGTGACCAATAACCATTGGGGCCCCTTAGAAAGAGTGTCACTTACTGCTTTCTGGGCTGGGCTGGGCTGGGCTCGGCCTGAGTGAGAGCCTGTGTGGGCCAGTTGGTCACTGGCGGAGGTGGATGTGATTTCTCAGGGCACCAGGCAGCACCCTCTTCTGCAGTTCCCGGGAGCGATAGCCGTACACCAGTGGGATCAGGGAGACTCCCAGGTTGTAGATGGTGTAGGCGGCCATGTCCAGGGAGACACAGTGCAGGGTGCTGGGCAGCAGGTAGCTGTCCATGAGGATGGGCACTGAGTAGAAGAGCATCTGCACTGCCTGCATGGCCAGCGTGACCCGGGCGCGGCGCGAGCGGAGGAGCCCCCTCGCGTCCCTGCAGAGCAGCAGGAAGCACGCCAGCATGGTCAGGTAGCAGGCAGGCAGCACCAGGGCGCCCATGACCAGGGAGAAGGCCCGCAGCATAGGGGTCTCGGAGAGGCATTCGGCCACCAGCAGCATCCGGCAGCGCGGCAGGAAAAGGTCCACCTTCATGTTTTTCAAGGCCACGTACAAGGTGACCGAGCCGGCGAGGAGGGGGGCCGCCCACACTGCCAGCACCAGGACCCGCTGCCGGGTGGGGCTCAGCAGCAGCTCGTAGCGGAGGGGCCACTTGATTGCCACGTAGCGGTCCACCGCCAGGGCGGCGCTGAGGAGCACGTCCACCATGCAGCAAGCCTGCGAGGCCAAGGAGAAGACCAGGCACTGGGCCACGGGGATGCCCAGCCTGGAGGTGAGCAGGGCAGCCTGAAGCATCAGGAAGAGCAGCTGCAGGCTGTCGCAGCAGAGCAGATGGGCAAGCAGCATGAAGCGCAGTTTGCTCAAGAGCGCAGGTGGCCGGACGATGGCTAGCAGCAAGGGGGCACTCAGCAGCAAGTTAACCCCGTAACTCAGGCAGGTCAAGGTCAGCTTGATGTCATAATAGAGGTCAGAAGTCTGAATGGAGGCCTTTAGCTCCGTAATATTGCACGTCACCATCCCTCCTGCAACAGTCAAGAATGTGAGCATTACTGCACCACAGACAGGGGAATAAAGGTTTGCATGCCTCGGGGTTCCTGCTACTGTAAAGCATATCTCAGCTATTCAGAGGTCAATCACTTAATAATAAAATAACAGATATAATTATTCTAAACCAAAAAAAAGAAATCAGATAGGAAAGTCAGACACTATGACAGCTTGATAAGTTCAAATGTTAGCAAAGTCCCTGAACGCTTCAGAAAGAAAAATCAAAAGACAATCAAGATTTTTTTTTTTTTTTTTTTAACTCAAAACGATCAATTAATCAGTTGAGATTAGGGGAGACTATACAGGTTCATGACTTCACTTTACTTTATGTCAATGTAATCAGTTGTTAATGTAACATACATTTCAAAAGTGAGAGAATGGAAAATGACAAAGTAATTAAGAGTTGCATGAATATTTCATTAGCAAATGCTAATAGCTAAAACGATAGTGAAAACTAAGCCCACAACCAAACTGAGGAGCAAAGGGAAAGAAAAAAAATGTACTCACCAAAATCCTTAAGTGCATTAAAAGACAGGGATTATTGCAAATGCATGCTTTTAAATGCACTGGAGCAAGTATCCCACAGGTGCAAGAGGCTTACATGGAAGAGAAGCAGGGAAAATCTACCAGCCCTCCTCCAGCATGCACTATGACATCCCACACCTTGGTGATCACCTTATCAGATGTCACTGAAAAGGTTTTTTTTTTTTTTATATATATATATATATATATATATATATATATATATATATAAAGAGAAACCTTCACACATCACAAAACAGAAAGGTGGAAATTAAATGTTTGTCACAGCAGCGCTTGCTGCTAGTGTCAACATTTATCCAGCCACTTGCTGTGCACAAAACAAAACAAGGCTACATGCGACAAGAAGTCCATTGTTTTTTTTCCATCCTCCTACCGTTGCTTGGTGAGACTCAAAGGGAGTCCATCCCTGTATGGCTGTATACCAGGGCTATTCAAATCATGGTTCTCAAGGTCCAAGCCCTGCTGAGTTTCCAGCCTCCTTTACCCAGGAACTAGTTGGGAAGCCTCTGGCCAGAATCAGTAATTAAAGTAGATCTGAAAACAAGACCTAGATTTGGAATCATGGTGAAGAGCCCTGTTGTAAATGCTAGTTACTATTGTACTACACTGACTTCTGAGGTCACAATGCTGGGAGGTACCTTTTTACCACGCTCACTGGAAAAGTACTTTACTGAAGGTGCCTTCAGTAAACTAATATGCAACTTCTATTAAGGATAAAATCACAGGCCAATCAATAGCAAACTGACTGGCATTTATTGTCTAATTAATAACTCAGTAGTAACTAAGTAAAAACTCTTGACACTACAGCACATGTACAAAACTTGCAAAAGATTTATTAAATTTTGAATAAGGACACTGAAAAAACATCACAAGGCTTACAAAGAATAGACAAACGTTTGAGGTAAAAGTACAGTTCTGCATATCAGTAAATTTCACTATGTATGTCACATTTTCTGGAGCATCTGCAGTGTTGCAGGTCAAGACATGCATTACGCCCTTTGCATCCCAGAGCAGCACGTCATCTAATGCGCCATGCAGCGCCGACAACACCGTGGACCACTTTCACGCATGAAAAACAGGGATAAAATCAATGGCTGTTCCCTGCAGACCTGAGAGAACGACTCGTGCCTCCGTGTCTGTTGAGGTGTTCTTAATGTCCCATCATTCTACAGACTGCATCTGGACACAAATGTTAAGGGTTTCATAAACATCAAAAATGATCAGCCGAGAATGAGGTCCCATCCTGTATCACCTTAGACAGAGAAAGACTTTCTGCCTGAAAAAGTGAGTTTGACCCCCTGTCTGGAGGTGCTTTAAGGGCCCCAGGAGCAAGTGATGGGGGGGGGGGGGGGCGCTGCCCTGAGGCCCTCAGCTGCTTCCGAGCTGCGTCTTGGCGGCGAAGTCGGCGCTGAGCTTGCGCATGACCTCCGCGTGGCCCTTCCCCCCCAGCTCCTGCCGCACGTTGCCATAGTTCTCCTTGACAAAGGCAGCGAAGGGCGTGGGGCCCCGAGACTTGGCAGGGGTGAGCAGCACCAGCTGACCGGTGCAGAGCGCGCAGACGAATCGCTGCGTATCCAGGGACTTTGAGTGGCGGCCAATCCTGTGCAGGGGGAGGGGGTCACAAAAGAGTATTTTCTTTGATAGGTACAGTACCAGTCAAAAAGTGTGGAGACACATACTGAAAATCATTGGTTTTTCAACAAGAAAATGACCCTAAGCACACCTCGAAGTTATGTAGTAAGTTAGCTACATTGAAAGAATGCCAAGAATCTGCAATGCTGTCATCAAAGGGGGCTATTTTCAAGTGTCTAAAATTTGGATACAGAACACTTGTCCTGTTTGTTGGAGCATTTGATATGCATTACTTCATTGCCTCAATGGCTTTTACTATAAGGTGAATATTCTACATAACAGCTAAAATAGACAAATGCATTAAAAGTCCAGACTTTTGACTGGTAATGTAGAGCTGAACCACCATGCTATCTGCTTAAATGCTTTTTAAACGACCGAACAAGGCCAAGGCATCCAGAAACTCACACATTCTTGCAGCGGCTGCACTGGTACTGGAACTTGTAGTTGATATCGTAACTGTGACAGCGCGTGACCATGGGCAGCTCAGGGTGGGCCAGCGTGGCCTTGCGAGCGTAGAGCTTCCAGAAGGATCCATGGCCGTCACGCACGCCGTTGATGATCCAGGTGGCCGCGTGGCACATCTCGTGCACCAGCGTGTCCCTCAGGCGGTCTGGCGTGAGCAAGGAATACAGATGGGGGGTGTCACCTCTCAGATTAGGAACACATAAGCGTTCGCACGCCCTCACCAGCCACGCAAACTCACCTGCAGAGTCGCACACTTTCTCCGAGAGCTCGATGCGGGCATAGCGGTTTCCACTGCCCCGCTCCTGCCCTGAGATGCAGTACCCAGCAGTTTTCCTCATCTTCTTATTCCAGCTCACTGACATGTTGGAGGGCAGCTGGAAAGTTGGGGGACGGCAAGCGGCAGAGCAGACACTGATCACCACACGCTCGGCTGCCAGGGTCACGGCGTGCGCGTGTATGTGCGCGTGTTCTGACCTTTCCCTCAAAGATGCTGCTGTTGTACAGCTGGTACAGTCTGCCCGTGAGCTCCTCCTTGTGCTGCTTGAAGCTGCGACAGTACTGGGACCCAGGAATAGAGAGGGACTGCAGGAAGCAGCCAGGGGTCTTACAAGCTGTGCTTCGGCTACAAACACAACACGGAACGATCAGTTCTCCAACAGGTCTGTACCGTTCTTGTCATCACGACAACATCAGAAGTGAGCCATGTCTAGCAGCACAGAAGCTGAGGTTCGAAGAGGCTCTGCCTCGTTACCTGCTTCCCAGCAGTCTGGGCTCCGTCTGGCTCAGCACGGGTCTCTCCACTGTCTGCACTGGCGTGCTCAGGCTATGGGTCGGCTTCTCCACCCGGGCCTTCCCTGCTCTACCCTCACTCGGTTTCGGACCACGGCCCCGTGGAACTGACAGAGAGGGCTTTTGCACAGGCTCTAAGTTGAAGCACAAAGCACGGAGGGAAAAACTGTTTAAATCAGAAACCAACATGCTAATAACTACACTGAAGAAGGGATGCTATCAGACTGAGATGGTTGCTGGTTCAAATCTCAAGTGGGACCATGTTGAGGTAACCCTGAGCAGCATCTTGTAAACCTCTATAAATTATATCTCTAGCACTGAACTAAATAATCTGGATTGTAAAGATGTTGGAAGTCGCAGAAGACTCAAGTTATGAGAAAAATGTCACTGTGGTGTGCGCGTGTGTGTATTTGTGTGTGTGTGTGTGTATACTCTAGGTGGAGATTAGAAGCTAACATTACCTTTGCTGGGTTTGGGCGTCTGTGTGTTATTGGTACTACCAATACTGTGATTCTTCTTGAGTCTTTCCAGCAAGGACTGGAACTCCTCCCCAGAACTGGAATCTTCCAGCTGGATTGGTGTCCGGTATAATGAGGAAGAGGGTGGAGCCAGAGACTCGGGGGCGGGGGATTTGGTTTCCAGTGATGTAGGAACAAGCCGGGTGTGGCGAGATTTCCAGGTGCTCTTGATTAACACGCCTTCATCATCATCGCTCACAAACACCGGGGACTGCAGCTGGGTTACAGGGCACGGTTCTGCTGGCGGGGCTCGCAGACCAGGGCTGGGGGCCCTCGGGTTTCCTGTGGTTAGTGCACAACACCCTTTACCCTAAAAGTCCTGAGATCCCAGTGACATGGATCTCAGACATTTTCAGTGTCGGTTCCATCCAACAGTTTAGTCAGTCCTGCAGGTCTCACGATTACACATTATACTGTACAAAAACAGTTCTGAAATACTTTAGTATGTCAGGAATTCACTAGGGCTGCACGATATCACATCGCGATATATATCATGTCGGCGAGTAACACTGCAATGTTTATAAAACAAAAAAGGAGATGAAATTATCTGAAATAAACTGCAGCCAAATAGTATTTATCTACCAACAGAGTGGGGTAATTCAGGTCCAGAGAGTAAAAGTCCAAACTAGGATTTTGTTTCAAAAACATTGAATTATTGCACCAGGACACAAAATATTGAACAGTGCGGAAACAATATTTCATGCAGCCCTAGGCATTACTGATGTTTATTAAACAATTAAGATGTCAGTATTCAATGTGAAAAAAAAATACAAAAATCGAGAACAAGGACGCAAGGAATAAAATGCAAAGATGACAATCCAAACATCCACTAAGGCGCAAAAGCTCACCTTTGGACAGAGGTTTCTTCTTTCTCTGTTCTGTCACAAAGTCCTCGTCGGAGGAGCTGTCCATTATAAACTGTTTAAGACTTTCCAAAAACACAGGGCGTTACAACCACGATCCATAGGAAAATTATAAAGTATCACATGCAACACAAGACAGACAACCAGCCAGACACACCTGTCATCACTACCGTACTTCTTCACACGGGCTGGCTTGGTTTTTGGAGTTTTCACACGGCTCAGGACTGTAAGGACAGTAAAAGAACAACTAGTGACCAAACAACTGAAATTTTTGCATTTTAAACACACCAATGTGCTCCTTCACAAAGCAAGGTTTTCAGACTTCAGGATATAGACAGTGAATATTAGGCACGCAACGATATATTATGTGACAAATCGCAGTACAAATTTATGACCAATCAAATCGAAGAAATGAACGCTTAAATAACTCAAATTATTATTAGGCTAGATAATCTTTTAGATTTCCCTACCTATGGAATGGTGCAATGGTTAGGCTTAAATGGAAAAAGCCTGTTTATTTTTTCTCCTTTAAGATAAAAGGATTTTATTAAATATGATACTAGATTTTCCTCCATCCTTTACAAATGTTTGTAATTAACTATTTCTGCTCATTAAGAAAATCAAACAAATTTTACTTAATGAAACAAATATTGAAGTCGATAAAAAATGGGGAAAAAACAGATTTTTTTTTGCTATTAAAATTTTCTTCATTTAATTATTTTCCAAAAATATCATGGTAAGATCGAATCATGATCACAATATCCTAAATGGTTACATGTCTAGGAAATACCGATTCTTGATTAGGTGTAGTACAAAATAATCCTCCATAAAATAGTAGTAGCAGTGGTCAGCAGTAGTGATGTCACTTAACACTCTGCTAGGTTCAAATTTTAATAACCATTTCACTCTCCCCACTGCCCAAACAAGTCAATGTACTCACACTTTTCAAAGCTGTCATCAGTGTCTGAACTCACTACCAGTGCAGGTGGACTATAAAGAGGAAAAAAAAATCAAAGATCAAAGTGATATTTCAATTGGTATTCACCAGCTATCGTTTTGATAGAAACTGGAAGCAGAGCACCGAGTGCCTTTGGTAAACATCCATCTTTCTGGAAACAAAGAACAGATACTCCTCTCGTTATGATGGTAATACTAACGTTATTTTTCGACTTTACAATGGTTCAACAGTGATGCACATTCAGTACTCATCTGATTTTGAATTTGGACCTGTTCTCGCCTTAGCTATATGCCATAATATAGTTTCTACTGGTGCAGGGCAGTGGAAGCATCCACACAGCCACGCTACCATCTCTGTAGCGATGCTGAGCCTAAAGATCTCATATAGTGCATAACAACGTTTTTAACAAAGTTTTTTTCTGTATTCAACCAGATACTGTAAACTTGTATTCATTTATTGACTTTATAATTACTCATATTTCGTTAGTCATTCATTTATTCACTGACAATAGTTATTTCAGTGCTTCCCCTACCATTATAAATCATTTAAGGTTACCTTTCCTATGGAACAGGTCTATACATTGACCTTTTATTAAAAAAACTAAATTTCCTTATGTTATTTATCTTATATACACAACAGCTTGTCATTTTTGTCTCTACACGGTCGCACGTTTACAATTCTCCTCTGCTCTCTGTATTGCGCATGGCGGAGTTCCCCCCCCATGCGCGTGAACACACAGTGTTCCACCAGTGGACAGAGAGCATCAACCACCTTTAATATCTGCATTTTTTTAAACACTCCCAGGGTGGTTAAGACGGCAACACTCGCTCTCAGAAGAGCCCAGAAAGATAGACTGCAGTGACAAAAGCTGCACACTTTGTGGATAATTGTCATAAAAAGAAATGTTCTGATGTTTAGTTCAGTTGTTATATTGACTGCTGTCATTAAAAGAAACACATGAACACCACGAATCCTGCCGGTGTCCATCTGCCCCCCCCCCCAAAAAAAAATTTTCATTTATAATATTATATTCAACTTATATTTTACACCTATGATGAGTTCATCGGATTGTAATCACATCGTAATTCAAGGAGCACCTGTATACCCTTACGCATCTCTCACAGAATTCTGAGCATTGTCATCACTCTGCTACAAAAAAACACACCTTTCCTCACAAGCTGTGTTTTTCTCAGGTGGACGCCGTGCAGCAGGTGTGGCCCTTGCAACAAGAACTGGAAGAGAAAGGTAGGGGAAAAGATGGGCTTCCCATCATTTATATCATTCTTGTCAATGCGGTAGCTGATCAAGGTCCACTTACACACATCAAAATCATCATCACTGGAGTCCAGGGGAATCGCCATCTGTCGAGTTTGTCCTTTCAAAGGACTGTTCTCTTTTCCAGAGCTGCCGTTGTCTGAATCTACAGCTCTAGAAGGACCCTGATGTCTACTTTTCCCAATGTTCTTTATCAGCTGAAGGTAAATGGACATTAACGAATGTGCTGGTAATTTAAGTCTTCACAGGAAGATGCGAATTTACAAATATTAAATCACAAGCACAGTTGTTATAGTTATTTATTGTTATCAAATAAATAACTGAATTACTACTGCACTTGGACCGCACTGGCGCTCACCTCCTTCTCGGCTAGATCCAGCGCCCCCTTGGCAGTCCAGCCTAACTTCTCCGCCACCTTCTGGAAGAGCCTGTCCGTGCTAGCGTCCATCACTGCTCTTTAAATCTGCATGCATGAAAACGAAGCAAAAAAAAAAACCTAAACCTAGCTTGTACGTTTGTGTACTACAATGAACTGTGACGTTACGTTGATTTTTAAAAAGACATCCGCTTACTGCAGCTGCTGTTAAGTTTTAAAATGTTATCAAGCTCATTTATGATCTTTAAGATACGTTCCGCTTAAAGGATACTGAATTCATTGAAAGCAGCGAAACGTACTTTTCCTCATGAGTATCAGGTTCGAGGAACAACTACAAGTTAATTAATGCTAAGATCGCAAATACAAAGATACCGAATATGCGCTATCGTTCCTGGTAGAGTTGACCTCGCCAAGCGACAACGTAAACTTTAATATAATATTTTCCGTTTTACATTTGTTTATTTTCCTAATGGACTGGATATCGGCATTCGAAGTACAACGATTTATTTTTACTACAAAGGGCTTGTTCTTCTATGGAATACCTACCTTCGTTTCTTCATTTATTTCAAAACTGGCGCATCGGAAGCTCGCTGAGTTACTAAAACCTGTAAATGCATTAGGGCTCCCCCTGGAGGTCTGGGGTGAAATTGTAAATGCTGTGCTGTATTACTCTCACTAAACTGTTTTACTACCTGCATGATATGTAAACATGCATAAACAGCTTTCGATATATACATAAAAATGGAATAGAATAACCAACTAATATTGATTTTCTTTATGTACTTGTTGTAATCTCAGTTATTGAAAGAACCGTGCAGGTCCGTTTTGGTTTGGAATTGCAACGATAATACATAAAAAATATTCGGTTATGTACGTTAGGTGTGTTGATTTATGTCCTATGTAGTGTATTCTGTACGTGTATTTATGAGCATGCTTGTAATTACAAGTGATAGAATTTCGCATTGCTGAACACGGAGGTTAGCGGGATCGACAGTACGAATTAAGCGGATGAAAACCATAATTATTTTCAGCTTATAGATTCATCGGTATACAAAAAGATTTGTCAGAATCGTTCAATGATTCGTGTACATCCGAAACGTACTTTTCCGACTCCACATTCCCATGGGATATTCCTTCGCCAGATAGTAGGTCCCTTATGTTTAATAAATTGTTCATTGATATATTATAATACCACACATTATACGTAGTATGCATTTAATTTCTTCATGAAGAATGAGAAAATTCATATGAAAATTGAAGCCGTTCTTAAGGTTGCTCCTTATGACCTTGCTGTTGATTTAATAGACCATGCACGTTAATTACATTTTGAAGGTACCCAAACAAATGTATTGAGTTATTTTGGCCACTCCCTATATTTCGTTTAAGATTTTACCAGACCTATGGATCCATATTCCTGATTTTTTTTAGTCATAATTAACTTAATATCCTGTATTTTGATTGAACGTTTATTTGAAGTACAATTTAATTCACTCTAAATCTATCAAGGTTAGGCCAACATGTCATGAATGTAACGACAGCATATGGAAGGGAAAAGCCAAATTACAATTTTTTGGTTGTGAACTGCTGCTGCTGCTCAGGGGGGAATAAATACCAGAATACATACTGCTGATTATGTAAGACTGGCAGGAACAATGCCCCGTGACATCCCATTTCAAGGGGAACATTTTTGCACTTCATCACAGCATTTCTTCCAATGAGGTAATGACTATCATAACCAATATGTCATGAATGTCTAGCCATTCTCAAAAGCTGTGTGCACATCATTGAAACAAAGGAGGCCAACATTTCACACTGACAAATTTATTGATATCTTAATTGAGAACGTGACCCGGACAAAGCTGATTAAGACACCCAACACCAACCAGGAGCAGAGGAGATACATGCTCAGGCAAGAACATTCAAGCTTCGGAGAGCAATAGGGTGACATTCTTGATGAGACTTAAAGGGATATCAACACACTGATAAGACTGCTGTCAAGGAACACTGGGATAAGCAGACTTAAAGGATATTGCTATTGAAACAAATACTGAATGGTTTGTTTCAAAAGACGAAAGGTATGTCAATACACACTCAACAGAAGATAGCAACTGGCTAGCTGAAGCAAAGCTAAACCTTCATGACATTTTTTTCTTCCAAGGAATACCTTCTGTACGAAATCTCGGCTGGAACTATAATTCAATCATACTCTTAAGACCCTGGATGGAGAGGACCAAGCTCAAAGCCAACATATGGCATTTAATTCAAATACGGACCTTCAAAGGCTTCTACTCCAAAACAATATTTACTGCAAAGCAACACTGAACACATATTACAGTCATCACATCATTAAAGTGTAAGACCTGGGTTCAGTTATATTCTGTGAAATTTAATTCAACCGCTTTATTCAAAACCTTAAGTGTGTCGGAAGGTAGGAGTACAGCACATTCAAGTATAAATAAAATCTAAAAAGGAGGGAGGGAAGCAGAGTACAAAACCAAGATAAAATACTTACCTGGGCCACTAATTGTAAGAGCAGTAATTTCTTTACGTGAGTGGACAGTAAATCTATGCAAGGCCCTTTTAATGAACAAGTGTCAAGCTTCTGTTCTTTCCAGTTTCAATTTTCCATTGCTTGGTCTTCAAGACATTGTACAATGGGGGGAAAAAAAGATGACAAATCTAAAAGTTGGCTTTTGGTATGGGGAGGGGGGGTGCAAAAAGATGTCTTGTAGCCAGGACCACAGAAAAGAGCAGGTTTAGACTAAAGCAAGTTTCATATCCAAGTCAAAGCTGAATTTACTCTCATACACATCAATTAACTCCCCCCCCCCAACCCATTATTGTTACTCTAGACAGAACTCAGAATTTGCTGAAAGGGATCTCCAACTGCAATTGATTTGGTGTACCTATTTGGGGAGAGTTAAGTGGAGTTTGAAAAAATTGTGGGAGGAAATACCACAATGACCTGTAATATGTGCTTGGCGGTGTGTGTGTGTGCGCGCGCGAGCATGTGTGTATGTATGCAAGCGTGCATGTGTGAGGTTGTGTGTAGGTACAAGTTCCAGACAAACAGCTCAGCCAAGACCCCCCCCTTCTCCACACCTCTTGGATTTGAGAAAGAACCACAATGTTTTTTGACTGCTCTGAGGGGATTAACCTGGCAGGCTCCACAACAGAGTCCATGTGCCTAGGAAGGGCGTGGTGATGGTGGCTGGGATCAGAGCTGGACTAGGGGTGCTGAGCTCAGGCGCTTTCACTGCTTTCCAGGGGCTGGAGATTAACAAGATGCTCAGGCTTGGCCCCTGCAGAGTAATGCTCCCACATCTGCACGTAGAGCTTCTCCAGGTCTATGGTGTACTGCTTGGTATTGAACAGTGGGCTGCATATGCGCTGCTTCCAGACCCGAGCGCGAACCATCTTCAGGCTGGTATGAGAAAGGAGATTATTATTAGCTGTGCCCAATATATACCAGCTCAGAGATCCGTAGAAGTGACAGATACTCACTATTCCATGTCAGTTCCCAGCTTGACCGCCACATCTTCATAATCCTGACGACTCATTGCGATGAGCTCAGGACAGCCAAGACAGGTAAGCTGGGAGGCAGCCACTCGAGAGGCTAAGGTTTCACCTGAGGGAGGGACACAGGTGATGTGAAGACCAATGAGACATACTGCACTGAAACTAAAGGTTTGTCTACATGCTGCCCCAGCAATCCATTACAACTCAAACTCATTGTGCAGGAATGCCATTTAGACAGAATCAGTGTCCATGTCTGTTACAGTTCATCATTCAACAGCAACCATTACACTAAGAACTAAGGCATCGAGCAGAGGCTAGGTTTTACTAGCATCTACAATAAACTTCAGAAGTTCAAAAGGGGCAAAATTTTGTTCTCCTTGAACAAGCTCAAATGCAGAGATGGACCACTGACCACCCAGGTCCTACCTGGCATGGTGACCATGGGTGTGCCGGCCCAGAGCACATCCATGCCAGTGGTGTGCCCATTGCAGAGCGGCGTGTCCAGGCAGACGTCGGCTAGCTGGCCACGTCGGACGTGCTCCTCCTTGGGGGCCACGGGCGAGAAGATGATGCGTGAAATGGGAAGGCCCATGCTCTGGGCACACTGCTGGATGTTGGGCTCGCCCACGGCCGGGAAGCGCAGCAGCCACAGCACACTGTTAGGCACCCGCTTCAGGATCTGCAGGATAGGTGGGGAAGGTCAGCAACGCTAGGCACTAGAGTCCCATCACAGACTGTTCACTGAGCAAGTGCCACAGCAGGCCTAGGCAGTCCCGATCCTAGAGTACCGACATGCAACAGATCTTCTATCCTACCTGGTCTCTGATGAACCACACCTGATCTCAGGCAGACAGTAACTCATCAGGTAGGATAGAAAACCTGCTAGATACCAGCACTCCTTGGTCAAGGTTGCCTACACCATGTGCCAGAGGGATTACAGGCAGAGAAATTTTTAAAAAACACACTAAAAATCTCTCCAGCCCATTTCCAGTGTATATTTTTGCCCTGACATTTTATTGTGAAGTACTATAAATATGGACAGATATCCACACACACACACCATGCGTGTATAACATCTCTGTTAATTCCTAGTCTAAAGATGAGCACCAGAGCAGTTACATTTCTAAACGCAGTGCAGTCGGCGTGATAAGTGGGACATTTCACGAACCAGAAAAGCAGACACCAACGCTCCAGTTTACACCTACAGTGAACATAGACTTACACGTACGAACTGATGCACGTTCATTTATGGCATTTTGAAGCAAAAGCTTTTTACTGGGATTCAGTGAGCCTGTAGAGTGACTTCTGTACTTACGTTGACCCACATCTGTAGAGTGGGAGGGTCAATCTTGTACAGTTGGTTGAAGTTGCAGTATACAATGGAGTCCTCCGGGAGTCCATACTGGGAGCGCGTCGTGACCACGATTGTGCGTGGGACCTCCTCTCCAGTGGCAGCCTTATTGTTGATCTACAAGTACAAGACAGACGTGAGAAGGGAGGGGCACCATATTCAGACAGCAATCCCAACACCTCTTCACATTCCAGGTCTGTTTGAGCCCCACGTCTGCCATGCAGTGCCATATACCTGGGTGGTGGCCAGCCCATTGCTGACAGTGAAGCTGTTGATGGTGACCTGGATCTGGCCCTGGTTGATCATGTTGATGATGGCCTCAGCGGCCGTGTTCATGGGGATGACAGGCATGGAGAGGGCGCCATTGCCATCAGTGGTCTCTTGGCTGTCGCACTTCATCTGAAGAGAGAGGTCAGGCTAAGGCAGAAGCCACGGCAGGAAAGAACACCTGCTCAAATGTCTTTTCACCATGAGCCTCGTGCCTGTAGCCCTAACCCTACCTTCACAGCCTTCACGTCCGGCAGGCTGTCCAAAAAGGCCTTCAAATCGATGCCGTTCAGCACGATGCGATTGTCGAAGATGTGTCCATTTGACTTGAAGTCAATCACTGCCTTTTTCTGAAACATACAAAAAAAAGCCACTAGTTACAACATCAGCCAATAGTTTAGACTGACCACCATATTTGTTAAGCGTTTAATCGCACACCAATATTTTCCAACAAATGCACACGTCTACCTTGAGGTGTGGGAACATGTTGGCATGATCGCCAATAAAGAAGGTGTGTGGCATGTAGGCCAGTTTCTCAGAGTACTGCTCTGCCAGCTCGATGGGGGAGGTCTCCAGGTCAGAAGCGATGTAATCCATAAAGGGAGCCCCACTCGTTCCAGGGTAGCCCAGCCACATGGCCTGAACAGGCAGGGAAATAGTTTTAGGTTCAGTATAAAAAGCTCTAATAGCATGTCAGTCATGGATTTTCCAATGTGCACAAAATAGAAGTACAAAGCAAGGAAAATGTAAAATGTAGAGTCCCCTTTATTGTCCAGAGTCTTACCTGAATAGGTGCTGGCCGCAGGGCAAACAGTTCATTGCGTGCCCCCTTGGTATAGCCATTCATGTTGATCAGGATGTGCACGCCGTCCTGGTGGATCCTATCTGCAGCCTTCCCATTGCAGGGAATCTGAACAAGAGGGGAAAGGAGCAAGAGAACAGAGCAAGGCTCAGAGGATGCAAGGAGGAGTGATCATAAAAATAAAATAAAAATAAAATTAAAGTAAAAATACCACAAGTAACTCCAGCAATGGCTGGCTGGGAGCACAGACTGTCTGCTCTCTGTTGCACTTACTTGGGACAAGTCTACAAAATGGTGGGCCTCTGCCATCACCTTCACACGGAAATTGGTGCTGTCATCAGGGCTAAGGGCGTAACAGAAAACCTAGAGAAACAGCAGAAGGTCATCAGGAAAATCCAGGGCACTGCAGGGACACCGGCAAGAACATAAACTGCTCTAAACGTCGGCATGATTAAAAGGCATCAGACCATTCCACAGTATTCAAAAGGATCACGCGGCCCTCACCTCAAACTTCTCAGAGTTGTGCATGCCGGGGATAGACTGCATGAGGTGTGAGGTCGGGTGGTTCCCGAAATCAGAGCTGACGTAGCCCACGCGCAGACGCCCCCCGCTGGCCTTTAGGTCCTTGGCGTGCTCGTAGGGAGGCTTGTGTAAGGCATTGATCTATAGGTTTAGACCAAACAACATACTTTGAAATAGACGGAGTATTATACTTAGACTTTTGCCAGGTCTTCACGGTGGGGTAAATAACACCTGGCTAATGCGGAATACTGAGAACAGGTACCTTGTCCAGGCAGAGATTGCCGTGTCTCTCGGCAATGGCTTTGCGGAAGCCGTGGGACAGGGGGTACAGCATGCTGTGGTGGGGGTGCACCGAGGGCAGTCTGTTCTTCTCCAGCTGGTCAGCCACGATGCTCACCAGTTTCTTCATGCGCTCATCATAATCAGTCCAGTCACACACAATCTGGAGGAAGCGCGGGATAATCGAGGTCACCTCGCGTGAACCTGCTCTGAGGTTAGATGCTAAATCTCCAGCAACTTTTGGGAGAATCCTAACTGCTGCTGAGAGCTGATGTTCTGGAAATCCAGAAACACGGGAGAAATTTGGAGGTTCTATTCACCTGTAGGCAGTGTGCCAGGTTACAATAGGCATCCGGAAAATCGGGCTTCAGTTTCAGAGCAGTGCGGTAAGACGCAATGGCCTCAGGAATATTTCCGGAATCCTGGAAAAACATGAACGCACACAAGTAAGCTATAACTATCCGATCAGACTGTGAAGGAGCGAATAAGCCTCAAACACATTGCGATACCTTGTGAATGGAGGCCAGGTTGCTATGGGCATCAGCAAAGGCTGGGTTGATCTGAATGGCGCGGGTGTAACACTGGAGCGCCCCCTGCACATCCTGCATCTCCTTCAGCGTGTTACCCATGTTGGAGTAGGCGTCGGCGAAGGTCGGGCTGATCCTGTGGCAGTGACAGGACCGCTTACCAAATTGCATGCAGTGATATTTGACATTGCTCTAAAGCCAAATAGACAGAGATGATAAGAGAACAACTGCAGGCAGGACGCGCTCCGAGAAGACAGCGGGGCACACCTGATGGCCTCCTTATAGTGCATGAGGGCTTCCTGGAGCTTTCCCTGCTGCTGCAGGACGCTGGCCAGGTTGGAGTGGGCCGCGGCAAACTCAGGGAAAACCTACAAATATGCATTTGGTCAGAACAAAGACAAGAACGAGGCCACATTTACTAACCACTACCAACCTCTATCTTCTAGTTCTTGTTACACTCGCAACATCTCACCTCAAGTGCTTTCCTGTAGAGCTGGATGGCTTCCTCAATATTGCCCTGCTCTCGCTTGATGTTGGCCAGATTGTTGAGGGAGTCCGCGTGTGTGGGACACAGGCGTAGCGCTGTGTTATAGCACTCCTCCGCCTCTGAAACCTGGAAGGACCCACAACATGTCAATGGCCCCCTTGACCTTGGGGAAACGGACTATACAAAGCATCCATGGTATTTTATCAACTAAAAAGGTTCTGAGACATAAAACATCACTCTGCTTCTTAAGTTTAACTATGGTAAAAAAAACAGCAATTGCAAATTTCATTTTAGCCAGGAAATCTAACACTTAAAATAAAACAAAATTTTTCACCAGCTCTTAGGACAAGCAAAGGCAAATCAAAAGGCAAGCAAGGCAGGCCAGTTCCTACCTTGAAAGTAGGACATGACATAACTGCCACTGGAGACAGGCTTAAGTCACTTACATTGCCCTTCTCTTTGAGGGCATTGGCCAGGTTGCAATAGGCATCAGGGAAATGAGGCTGTAGCTCAATGGCACGCCTATAGGTATCGATGGCCAGGTCAATCAGGCCCTGCTCATAGTACACACAGGCCAGGTTACCATGGACCACGGCATGGTTAGGGCTCAGGCTGAGGGCACGGAGGTATCCCGCAACAGCCCTGTTAGGAGGAAAGAGCACAATTCAGTTTATACACCTTTATGAACAAGCAGGGAGAGTAAGACACAGAAAGGAGTAAACTATGGGGTTTGTGCACTGCAGACTAAAGGGAAAACATGGCCTGAAATAAAGCTAAACATTCAGATCTAGTTTAAAATAACTATCAATAAAAGTTACCCACCTGTCAAAGATTCTTGCTTCTTTGAGGACATTTCCCAAATTGATATAGGCATCCAGAAAATTAGGATCCAGAGTCACAGCCTAAGACATACAACATTTAGCAATTAAAGGTGAATCATCCTATGACGAGATACCAAGCACAGGTTAAGACAGGGACAGGCAACTTCAACGATGTAGTCACATCCGTTCACCTTCTCAAAGTGATGAATGGCCAGCCAGATCTCTCCCTGGGCATTGAACACACAGCCCAGGTTGCTCCAAGCCACCGCAAAGTTTGGCTGAGTCTCAATTGCCTTCAGGTAACAGGCCTTGAAGGGGGGGTTAATAACCAAAACCAGAGAAGAAGAGGCAGAGAAGTGTAGGTAGGGGAAGGGGTTATAAAAGGAAAAAATAAAAAGATTGAATAAAAAAAAAGGAAGAAAACAAAAAGTAGACAAGAAACAGTTAGTTTTCGCTCTCCACAAAAGCAAAAAGTGAGCCTGCAGCATGGGCTCGCGTGCGCAAAATCTGCCGCGCTAAGCAGCTCGCTTTTTCCTGCGCTGCGCGGATCCGACCGACACCTACATGCACACCGGCATTTTTCAGTTATGGCCTTTGTGAGAGAATGATCACAGGCACTTCACTTAAACCCAGCTGGGGTGGGTGCTGCACCCCGATAAGACGTGTTAAATTCACACCCAGCGTAAGAACAGCCTAATGCCCGGGTTACAGAAACGGCACATGCTGCCCAGCAGAAGGGCTGAGTGCCGGGGGGGGGGGGGGGTCCCTCGAAACCTTAAATACCAGGTGCCACATGCAGATAAAGGTCCCTGTAATGCAAGCGCAAAAGGTACGCGTGCGCGCATGGCTTCCACCATGTCGCCACTCGCAGGCGCCAGCCGCACTAACAGCCATGTTTGCTTCCCCGCTCGCTTGCTCGCTCGCTCGCTCGCACGCGCCAACTCCAGCCCTACGCGTCAGCTGCGGACCGGAAGCCCAAAATTCCCTGCTGCCAGGCTGCCACACTCTAGAACCCCCTCATGTTTTAGAGGAACAGGAAGACAAGCTTCCAGCACAATGTGGATCAGAGGGCCATCTGCTATGAAGGGGGAAAGTACTCTAGGGGGCAGTGGGGAGTCAAAGCCAAAAAACCCCCATCTCAGGGGGAAGGGGGCCACTGGGTGACATGCTGGTGGGGTGGGCAAGGGGGTCTGCAACTGACAGGCTGGGGGGGGGGTAAGGGGAGGGGGAGCTCGCTTGCTTGCGCTTGGGTAGCCTGAGGGTGTCGCTGCGCAGCCCCTGCGCTACTGCAGACTCACAGCGCATCAGCTGCCCAGCAGATCGCTGCAACTCCAAATAAATGGAAAAAAAACAACAAAAACCAAAACAAAAATAGGAAAAAAATAAGTAAAAAAATTTAAAGAGTTAGAGGGTTCTTACTTTTTTTTTTGCATATTGCTTCCAATCCATTTTTAACTTAAAGATGGCAGTTACTATGCAGTCAAATGAGTACTACAGCTCATTACTGTTTTTTTTTTTTTCTCGTTTCTTTTGTTCTTCAATGGAAGCCACAAGACAGAAGAACTCAGGCATGGAGTGAAGTGTGTTTTTCTTTTGTTGGCAGTTACAAACCCGTTACCATATTTTTGGACTTTGTCAGGGGGGTGGCCGCAGCTGGAAGAGGAGGAGAGGACTGATCCTGCCCTAGTGTCCCTGTCCGCCAGGCACCTACGCAGGAATAGTGTCACCCACCTGAAACCTTCTAAATAACAATATCAGTCGTGAAAAAACCAAAAGAGACAAAATAAGAAACAAGATCGTTAGTAAAAGTTTTGCAAACAGTACATATTTTTCATACGGAAATAACGATCTTATTCACAAAATAAATAAAAAAAAAAAAAAACCTTATTTACGATCATGCAGTATGTTCAAGACGAATGTACAGAAGGGACAAAAGAGAAGAAAGGCTTTGATTGTTCTGTTCACAGCAGTAATGCAAATATTTCTGATTAAAATTACAATTTAAATTTAGAAAAAGGAGGGAGGCCGACTGGCTTGATCTTTCTTAAATGAAATGATCACAATTACTGGGAATATAATCATAGCATTCTGGGGCACAAAAAGTTCCATTTTTTTTATTTCTCTTGTCTTTTTTTTTCAGGTTTAATATCTTGCTTTATCCTGTCCTGCTTCCCTGAATCCTGGCCAATGGGTAAGGAGGAAAAAAAAATCTGGGATTTAATTGTATCTAGAAGCCTCCACAGTTCTGAAATAAAGAGGTCAACGCTGCTGCTGCTGCGCGTGTGCATTCTGTCTCTCACTATCCCAGCAGCTGTCGCGTGCAGTGGAGTGCAGATAGTGAACTGTGTGCCTGGCGCAGCCCCAGCGACCCCAAGGAGAGCAGGGATGGGAGGGGGCAATGGAGCCTTCAGGGACACCTCAGGTTGCCACTTCCTATTACACACGCATAATCTTATCGGGAGGGGAGTCTCGTTTGCTTGGGGTGCTGCAGAGGTTTCATGGGTGGACAGAAACACCCGGAAACCCCCGTGCGCTCGTCCCGATTGGTGGCGAGCGGGGCTGAGGGGGGTCAGGCAGACAGCTCCGTGCGCGCACACTCCACGGGCCCTGAGCAGGCGCGCGGGGGGGTGGAGCAATAGAGCGGGGCGGGGACAGGGAATGGGCAGCCCCCCAAACGCTTCTCCCCACCTCACCCCCCCTTTAGCACCAAATAAGATGGCTTGTAACCAGCGAAAGGTGGACACACTGAGCTCCAGCCAACACCAAATCCAATGGCAGCTTCAGAGCCTGCAAGTGCTAGATTGGGGTCATGGGGGTGAGAGGGGCAACTCAAAGAGCAACAGCAGGAGGAGTCTACTCTGCTCAGATGGAGCTGTTGTTCAATTCCTGATGTTTTATTGTCCAGGTGGGAAAAGGGCAGTTCTTTGGAAAATTGTGAGAAATGTGGGTTAGAAGCCATCTTATTTTTTGCATAGCAAAGACCACTAACTCCATCAGTCCATTTATTCTTCGAAGACCGAGCCAGCATCATCCCACCAAAGCAGCACTGGAATCAAGTGTTAAAAGCTAATTTTGGTTTTGGAAACTCCCGTCTTACACAATTTCTAGAGACCAGCCTTTCTTCATGTGTGGAAAGGCACTGAACCAGGATCAAGCCAAGGCAGAAGAAACATACTGGATCAAGAAGACAGAGCAAGCTGGAAAGGAGACATGAGTGTAATCTAAGTGCATTTAAAAAGGAAAATAATTAAAATCTCTTTAATAAAAAAAAAACTGGAGGGAGTCTACAGAAGAAATAAAAAAAAAAAAAACTAGTCTTGAGTTATAGATATGATGAATAAAAGCAGCATTATGGTCTTAATGTAAATGGACTGTTAGCAATGTATGAAGGGAAGGGGTTGGGCTTTGTGTTCCTAAAAAAATTAAAGAAACTGAAACTAGTGAGAAAATGAGGGCAATCTTAAGAGGGACGGGGCCTATGGCGTGGGGTGGGAATGAAGTAGAGTATGACAAATGAACACCAGCAGGGAGACAGATAAGCGGAAGATTCATTCACTCCAACAGGAGGGCTGGGGCCAGAGTGAGAGTGGGAATCAACCAAAACGTATAAAAAAAAAAGAAGAAAATAAATAAGACGCAACAAGCCTTGCAGCAGTGAACCCACTAGGACGTACCTTAGCCTCTTCCAGGCGCCCAAGCGCCTTCAGCAAATTCCCCAAGTCGCTCCGGACACAGTAGAGATCCTGCGATGCAGACCAGAGCACCCGCACAAGTGGCCGTTAGAGCGGCGGCATCTTTTCAGGCCGACAGAGGCGGCAGCAGGACGGCGAGGCACCCACCGGGTTGTACTGCAGAGCGGAAACGTAGGCCTGCACAGCCCCTTCCATGTCCCCAGCAGCCACCAGTGCAGCCGCCAGGTTGATGTATCCGTCGATGAAGTCGGGCTTCAGCCGCAGCGCGTGCCGGTAGTGCTCGATGGCCTCCTGCAGCTGTCCGCGCTCCTTGTAGACGTTGCCCAGGTTGGAATAGGCCTCCGCCAGCATGGGGTTCTGCTTGATGGCCAAAGTGCTGAAGTGAGCCGACCTGCAGACCCAAAGAGATGAAGACCCCCCAAGTCAGAGAGACTGACCAGTCACACAAGCAGCGGGGCGAAGCAGGAGCCATAGGATTGCAGGTTCACAACCCAGCAACAATTCCAGTCGCTTCGAGAATGTACCATAATCTAATCTGCACCAATATCTAAACATATAAAAGGAAAAATGAAAGACAGAAAAACTCAAACAAGTGAAAAACAAACATTTCAATTAAAATGTTGTTTGTACAACCAGATTCCAGTAAACAGCGGCAACGGATTATTTTGTTTGTGTAATTAAGTTAACATTCCCAGGAAAGCAAATTTCAAAGAATCCATTATAGAAGCAACTGAACAAGCCCAGTAATGGTGATGGTGGCGTCATGAAAAAGGCTGAGCTGCAATAGGGAACATTCCATTATGTTTACATAAGGGCAGAACCCATGCAAATGTCACTGCATCTAAAGATTAATACAACCTTTGGTATTTCCATTTAATGAGTGAAAAAAAGCTCCATAAAATTTCACCAACTGCTATGTAAATGAGCCACACCCAAGTGCTCTATCAGTTGAGAGAAGCATGAGGCTCAAAGTTATTCTGCCCTTTGAGACAATAAAAGTAAACCATATTTTAATTTCTCATCTAACAACTTACTTCCAGAGCTGCTAAAATTCCAACTGCACTCTTTAAAAGCAGTTCTTACAAGTTTACTAATGAAAGTGTTACCAGACCAGTCACCGGAACGAACACTACACAGAATACAACTGTTACTATAAACTACACCCATCAACCAGCAACTTGAGATGATATCATGTATAAAGGGAGCCTATCACAGTATCACAAGTTAGTCTTCCTAGTGTTTGCAGTATGCATAAACACTGCAAACCACCCCACATCGGCAGTCCACCCTGGAAAATCATTTCTTAAGTATGACATATCATGCACATTTCCATATTCACACACAACTGGATCTTTAAAAAAGTTTTCCCGCTATGCACGCAGCTAGGGCTATATTCATTGTGCAACCTAGGCCAGACCTAAAAGTTTATAATCCTAAAAAAAAACAACTCAACAAAAACCAGAGAAGGTAAGAATTTGAAACACACAAACAACAATAAGAAAATTAGCCACAAATGATAAAATTTGAAATAAGGTGCTTTGGTTAAAAAAAATCCAGAACTGACCCGGTTTATTGAAATTCCAGCAAGTCAACCCACAAATATACATGCTTACCTCTACTAACCAGACAAGACACACTCACAGAAAAGGTGGAAGGTGAGAGAATGTGTTTCACTTCATACAAGGTATTAGTTCCAAACACCTTTGGGGGGGGGGGGACACAAACTCTGCTTAGAGAAAGCTGTAGAAAAAGGTGTGGTTTTAGAAAAGTACAAAAAAACTAACAGGTTAGGGAGAGGTACAGAAGAATAACAACCGATACACACAAGGGCATCACGCCGCCAATCAGAGCACTTGGCAGCGCCGGTCTTGCGTCACATGGGCGTGCTGCTGGCTGGGTGGCACCAGCAGACCCCACCACCATGGGCCCGGTCAGGGCCCGTCTCACCTGTCAAGCCGGCGGCATTGGAAGTGGATGGAGGAGAGCAGAAGCAAAACCCCAGTGTTGTCAGGCTCCTGCCTCCACAGCTGCATGCAATGGCGCTCAGCCGCCTCAAAGTCACCCGACTGGTACTCCCTGTGCGCCAGCTCGGCCAACCCTTGGAAGGAAAGCATACGTTTTGTCGGTTCTGGAGCACCAGCACAGCCCAAGGGGAGGGGGAGGGGAAAAACAACATGTTAGAAAAAAATGGAAGGAAACAAAACATGATTGAAAATAAGACAGTGCACAACAACAATGGAAAAAGACGACAATGATAAACAATGAATGCTTCAGAAAATTCTGCAAGCAAAGATGCCCAAATGATGCATGACAAATTAATGACTGGTGATGACAAACATAGATACAGATTTCAAACAGGGGATTAAAAAAAAACTTCAGAATGGGTGTTGAGGAATATACTTGACACAAAAGTACAAGTAATCGCTACACTTACTATCAACATGTATTTTCCTGAATTACAAAAAAAAAATGCAGTTCAATGAGCAATAGTACTTCAAAGTAAGTGGGACAAAGGTTATAGACTGGGGGCCTCCAACTCTGGTCCTGGCGAGCTGCTATTCTGTAGGTTTTCTGTTCTACCTGTTTTCTGATGAGCCACTTCAGTTCTCAGGTAAATACCAGGAGCAGGTGTGGCTCATCAGAAGCCAGGTAGAACAGAAAACCTACTGGATAGTAGCACTGCAGGATCGGAATTGGAGACGCTAACCGACAATCCATCCACTAATTTTCTATATCCACTTGTCCTATAATGACCATAAACGTGGTAGATGAATAGACAGAACGGGCCCACCATTACACCCTTAAATAGAAAGCTTAATATACTTAAGCAAATATACACCTGTAAGATCGCATAATAAAATTACGACAATATACTATAACAAATGTGAATAAAACTATATATATATATATATATATATATAGCCGAAAATATGCCGAACTTTAAACCCATTCGTGTATGTATATATATATATATATATATATATATATATATATATATACATACACATACATACATACATACACGAATGGGTTTAAAGTTCGGCATATTTTCATCATTGATTTTCAGCCAGATGCAGACTGTCCGCGCTGGTTTTATACAAGAAGGTTGCCATTTTGCTTAGCGGCAGCGCCGTTCAGTGTACGCCGTTGAATCAGCAGGTATTTTCTAATGAAAAGCGTCACCAAACTAGCTACGTACCGTTCATTTCGGGTTTCTAAATAGGCCGGCGCTTAAAAACGACGAATTACATTTTAACTGGATGCATCTAGCTATGTATTTTATTAATATTAATTTTTAGTCGGAAGCTTCTGAACAGTAATGGAACGTTGATAACTAAAAATAGCAACATCGGGGGTACCTTAATGCCTTCTTACAGTTCAGCTCATAAAGACAGTTTAAAACACCTGACGGCAATACTAGTACTTCTATATTACTCCAAATTAAAGCATTGGTTATAAGTAAAATAAGACCAACAAGTTAACCAGTTGGTTAGCGGGAACAGCTACCTGTGCTATCAGCCACGTTTCCAACGGAGCTCGCCATCTCTTCGTCGGTCTGGTCCGCAGAGGTCCGTCAAAGTGTTCTTCTTCTAGATGAATTGTTTTGTCTGCTTCCAAGTTACACAAAAACCAGCGCCGGTAAATTCCTGTAATCCGTTTCCTACAACGTCTAAACGGACGGCTGGTGGTAAAAGGTGCTCTTCTGGTTGTACCAACACACCAGCGAAGTGTATCCTTCAATAAGGAAGCTAACGATCCTTTGTATCATTTGTCGCTAGCCACCTAGCCTTAACCACGCGTCATTCAATATTGGTCGTCGGATAAAATATGAAGACACCAACCGAAATACCACCCAATTTCAAGCTTCGAAGATAATCAAAGATAAAGAAAGAATAACAACATACATATATTCCTAAAATAGGAAAGCAATATTTCTCTTCTTGACAACGCGCCTAGCCCACTCTGAAATGGCGGATCTGACTGGAACTTTCTTCCGTTTAAAAACTAGACCCCCATTGATATTCTAATACAATACTGACATCTATAACAATATAGCTCAAGCATATGTTTTAAAAACTTACTTTGTGTTTGAGTGTAAATACTTCACACAAATAAGTGGTCTTCTTCTTGAATTTCTTTGTTGCAGAAAATATCTTTTAGCGTAATAAACGAGAATGTGGGTGTACTAAGGAGAATTTTGCGTATCAATTCGCGGGGCACTGCGGCGCCGTAGATATCACATCCTTGCTAAGTAAGCTCGGATCAGTGTGTTTAGTCTGCGTATAATTGGCAGGATACGGAGTGGTGGAGGAAAAACTGATCCCAAATCAGCTGTTAATAAAAGGAGGTGAACGTAACCTGAGGCATTGCGGCGTGTCGAAACGTGCGATCTATCAGCTTTTAAAATAGTGTGTTCGCGGTATAAGAAATGTATTTTATTTTAAAAAATTGTGCATATTATTAGTTTTAGTTTTTCGGTATGTGAACATGCCCGATCTTTATACACCAGAAGCAAGAGAGATATAGCTTTACTATGTAAGTTTACAAGTAATATAACCAAATTTGTAAATAAGAAAGTTATAATTATGAATAATTCTAAATATCAAAATCTAAAAAAAAAAACTTCGATGAAAGAAATCCTATAGTAAATCAAAGACCATTTAATTCCACTGTATTCTCAGTTACAACTTCTCCTACTTAAAACTGCAGGGGGCAGTCACAAACTGTTTAGCTATTTCCCATGGTTAAGTTATCCAGAAAGGTTACCCAGACAGAAACTCTGCTGTTTCCCTGCTTTCATTAATATACATTACTGTGCAAAAGTCTAATGTAAAGAAAATGGTTAGAGCTGTTTATTTCGGTATTAAGTGTACATTTGCTAAAAAAAAAAAACAGTACAATATAAGAAAAATAACCGTAATGGTGAGAATGAACAAGAATTCCAAAAAGTAATGGAGATCTTGTTTGATGGCTAGAACATCGCATCAATTCCCAAGCCTCTCCTTGAGGGCATATATATCATTTGATGTATTTGTTAACTTTCACTATCAGCTCTAGATAGATAGATAGATATATGATAGTGAAAAATTGTATCCTACTTTTCAAGATATTTTGGTGCCCATGACAGCATATCACACTGGGCCCCCAAACAAGACCTTCCAAGTATATTTCAACTATTTTAGGGCCGCTGATACCGAGGGGCCCTTGGATTCATGCTAATGTTCCCCTGACTTTATAGGAGAGGTTTTGAAATGGCTAAGCTGACACACTTTGACAGGCACCATAGATTTACACCACCAAAAATCATTTAAAAATCATTTTCTATGACTGCCTTTGCACAGTACTGTACACCAACTTTTTATTTTGTTTTTCTCCCATGTTCTTTTATTATCAGTTTTATTCTCCTTTTTCAGCTAATTAATAATATTTCATAACAGTAATAGAACCAATAACCTAACGTCAAACCAGTTAAATGATTAGCTGATCGAAGAGTGTTTCAGATACGTCCCCTTCCAAAATTTATCTTAAGAACTTGCATCATCTACATATTACTTTCACTATCTGTCTGCTTTCTGAGAAATTACTCAATGGCCGCATTCCTCTTACGCACTCTGGGAGATGAGTCTTGTGTTCTGAGAACGAAGGAATGCCTTGGACTCTAGTGCTGTTAACGTGCTAATAGGACTGTAAAGCAACATGGACAAACACCATCTTCCTGTGAATGTTTCGCTTGCCACCCCATGCACCTAAAGTTGAATCTTAAGTTGCACAAAATGCCTTATCGCCACTCTTGAATGAAGTTTTCCATGCTTATGTGGTGTGTCAGGCTGTTCAGGTGTTTTCCACGTGCTAAGCAGCTTACTGACGCCATGAGGCAAACCCTCATGACAAGATGATAAGATTTGTTAGACGTGTAGTAATACTTGCTCTTCAAGCGTAGTACAATAGGAAAACAAAATTGTACTAGTTGTGAAATATTCACTTATCAGTTTATTATTTTTTTTGGCCACAGAGTCTCATAATTGTTTTTTATATCGTTATTTAGTAATTTAGTAATTAGTGATTTTTTTTTATTTAAAAAGAGAGTGGTTCACTTTCCAGCCTGTAGCATTTGCAATTGATTTTATGTCCTTTGTCCTGGTAGCAGCAAATTAAAGGTTTGCAAAGCAAACAGGCCCAATTCAACTCTTTTCTCTCTCCAGCCTCTCTGACTGATTGATACAGACCATCAGTGTCAATGGAGGCTTTGACTACCCTACCCTGTGATGTGAATCTCATTAATTTCCTGTTTTATTCCTAGAATGGCAAAAACGGGGCCTGGGTTCACCCATTTGTTTCTCAGCACCCCTCTGTGGGAAGTGGGCCTGACATCATCGAACACACAGCTGCCTTGTGTGCTCAGCACACGTTGGTTCTGTGTGCGTGCCCGCCCCTGATTTTGCCCTCGGCCCGCTTTGGTTGGGTCGGCTGTCTTGGGAAAGAGCAGGTCGCAGCAGGGTGATGTCAAGGCCGTGTCTATGGCGATCGCAGCTGACGTCCTTTATCTTTGTGCATGCCCGGCGCTGTTTGGTCGGCACGGATACCTCTGCTCCAGCATGTCACACAGCCCTGAGTAATTTTGGGAAACGTGTGAACGTAGGACCAGGTCAAAGTTCAACCCATAATCCTCAATAAAGCCCATTTACACTGAGGCATTGTTTTTAATTTAAAATTTAAAATTTAGAGCTTGCTTGAATTCCTGTACATCAAATGTTACATCACTTTGTTAACCCACAATCAGACCTGATTCTACCTTCTGTTTTGTGATGGCCAAAATCAATTTTTCTTACAAACAAGAGTTTGATCATTCTTAGTATGCGTGTCTCAGTCAGTAGTATACATAAGTTATCCTGAATCTGTCTGGGTAGGCCCTACTACTCTGGCGCAAAGTTAGGAATACAGACATTTCAGATAAATTGTAGCTAACGTGGCAGCCAGCCCAGCTTTGGCAGTCAGTTCAGGGCAACATTATTTAACTGAAACTGAAACTGACTTCCACGTACCGTCATTAAAAACCCTAACACACATTCGCTTCCTTTTTTTAGAATAACATTTTTCTTATGATCACTTTTCTGTATTGTTGTTTTTATGTCAAAAATATGAAAGATGCATTTTCCTCCTTGGAATTAGCTTCTTTCTAACTTTTCTCAGATCATTTTACTCTTGAGGCTGCATTCATACCTTGTTTCAGCTCACTACTGTAGAATACCCTGTTTCCCTTAATTCTAGAGCCAGACAAACAGGACACGGACACCGTAATAGTATGGAGTGACAAAGTGAGTCCATGGATCGACTTACTGCTAACTGCTTGCATCTTTAAAAAGAACAAGATACTACATTGTCACTAAAACACTTTGAAACGAGTCTCTCTATGCAAATTGTGATGAATCTGGCTTTTGTTCTCCTGCCTTGGGCACCCAAGTTGTGTAACTAGGAATCCTTTGATGGCCAATCTGAACTCAGGGTTGTCTATAATCTGCTATCCATTTAATAGCCACTTTGACTCCATGATGCTTGTAATCAACCCACAGCGAGTAGTATAAGGTAGAACTGTGCAGCAAATCACATTGGCATGCCCTCCTCACACCTATGTGACCCAGGAAACTAAACACCACTGGTCAGGGGCTTCCCACCAGAATGGTAGATATTAGGCATCCCTGCAGTAAGTTAATAAGACTTGAATTGATTTTTTATTGGAGGGAAAGTTGAAGATGTGTTGGCATCGTGACTGATCTCAAAGGCTCAGGCAGATGCTTACAGCTTTTGTATACTTTATATCTTCAGCTGTATAAAGTAGCTAAAAATAACTTGACTGTTTTTGACCATTGAATCAGGACCTGTCTTTGGTTATGGAAAGAAGAAAGTTAATAACTGAAGGAGGATTTATAATCAAGGGGAAAGGTAAAATATGGTAAATTCCAATGTGCTATGGTAAATCACTTTCTTTATTGGAAATGAAGGGTTCAGCTCGAATGTCAAAGATGTAGGTAAATTAATAATCGTGTAGCTGAAACTGGAGCTCAGAGCACACACCCAGCTTGGTCCCCCTCATGCCCCCAGCCCTTACCCACGCAGATTGAGAGTGGAGCCCTAGAAAGCTCTTCAGTGTCAGTTAAATCCCCCTTTCTTTGGCTGGCAAAAAGCCTCTGTTTATTTTCTGTTAATCCACAGTGCCAAAGTGGCTATTTGGGTCAGGAAATAGAATTCTATTGTCTAAAGAAAGGATTGATGGTTCTCTGGCTACCAGAAACCTTGGCACAGAGTTCCTTGCTGAGTCTGATTTTAACTATGGGACAAACTGGTCCAAAACTGTTTATTTACTGAGAAAACCCAGAATGTATTGCCTGGCTCTTTCACAAAAAAGGGTCTGTTTTTCTAGCAAAAAAACAAGCATGCTATTCAGATAATATTGGCAAAACCATTGCACAGATAAAACCACTGCCAATCATTTAAATCTGTGACCATTAATTATATATTTTTTGCATATTTATGATATTTCTTTCT